TTTTTTTTTTGTATTTAGTTTGTAAGGATTCAAGAAATCTAATTGATTATTAAACCGTAAAAAATAAAATAGAACAAATTGAAGGAATGAAGGCATAAAAACAAAGGAGATATTTTAGAAAATATGGATCATCTTAAATAATAATTCAAAATAAAATAAAATATTTGTGATGATACAAGAAAACATTTGTTAAAATACTGAAAATATTAAGAGAGAGAGAGAGGAGAAGACTGATAGTTTGGCCAATTCTGGACCAATAAAGCTAGAGCTGCAAACGAGTCGAGCGGCTCACGAGCCGCTCGCGAGCGCTCGAGTCAAAGCTCGACTCGAGCTCGAGTTTGACCGAACTCGAATCGAGCTCGAGCGGCTTGAGCACGAACTCGTGTCGAACTCGAGCCCATATTTTGTCTTGTCGAGCAGCTCGTCGAGCGGCTCGAGATACAGTTAAATTACTAAAAATATCCCTTATTATATTTATTAGCATAGGTATTTAATGGTAATTTTACCTTTCCACTTAAAAATTTTTGAGTCGAACTCCAGCCGAGCTCGAGCATTTTGATTTCAAGTCGAGCTCGAGCCGAGCTCGAGTTATTGCAATTTTTTATCGAGTCGAGCTCGAGCTTAAAAATCGAGCTCGAGCAGCTAAAAAAAATTCAATCCTGCCCGATAAGGACAGTGCTCGGCTCGACTCGGCTCGCTTGAAGCCATAATCAAGCTATCTAGGCCAAAACTAATTAATTAAATTTTTATTAAAATTGATCTTGTTGTTTCATCTTCTAATTGTTATTAAAATTTTTAGAAAATAGGGATCATCTTCTAATTGTTGGGCCTAAAATTGATCTTGTTGTTTCAGGCCCATTCCGAAAATTTGGATCAATTATTAAAAAATACTTCGATATTTTATCTAATTACAATGGGACCCAATAGAATTCAAGAATTACAAAGAATGTATAGTAAGTTTTCTTACCATTTCTGTTGGTTTTATATCATATGAAATTTAATGATTATATTTTTATTGCATATTTATTATATTTTTACTTCATATTCATGTAAATCTCAATTTTATCTCATATCATTTTTTATAGATAATTTTTTACCTTTTTTTGAAAAAAATGTGAATAGAAACGCAAAAAAAATAAAAAAATATTTTTCATTTATATGCTATCTGTTATAAGAGATGCTACTTGTAACGCACACTACACACACATACTTATGAACAATCAAGCTAAAAAAACCTAAAAAAAGAAAATATTATATTCAATTACGCTTGTTTGGGATTATAAGATCTTTTATAGAATTTAGAAATCTTGGTATATTTATTTTCAAGAACTTCGAAAAATCTCGAGGTATTTAGTTGATATTTCAAAAATTATTATAAAGT